CTTGCCCTTGGCCTTGTTGAACCTCATGAGGTTCACACAGGCCCACGTCTCCAGCCTGGCCAGGTCTCTTTGGATGCCATCCCGTCCTTCTGGCGTATCAACCGCACCGCTCAGCTTGGGTTCCCAACCCATCACGCAGCCTTATGCAGAAAAGCACAATGAAAGTTAGAGAAATCAAGCAGGTATGCTTTTTTTACTACCACTGCCTTACCAATCCCCCCCAAATCAGCACAATATATATAAAAAAAATTGATCTTTGGGGAAATGGTAAGTAGCACAGAATTAAGACAACAAGCAAAATCCTGACTTCACTCAATGAAATGAGATTTTTGTCATTAACTTCAATGAAGCCCGTGTTTCAAAAGTGTCTTGACAACAACTTCAGTACATGTTTCTTAGATGGCTTCTCTCTAATGGAATTAAATAGTTCCCAAGATGAGCCTTCTTCCATTCCCACTGTAATCAGTGTTGTATTTGCTATGGTTTTCAGTGAGAGCCCAATTGGGCCCTAGGCTCGGAAATAAAAATCATCTGGAAGTAAATGGGTTGCTGCGTATCTGACCTCTTCTCTCATTGGTGTGAACACAGCGTGGGGATGAGACCTCAGATCATCGCTGCTATTTGCGTGGAGAGAGGTTGTTGGGTTTTTTCCTACCAGAAGATTAATAGGTAGCAAGTTCAATATCGTTAGGTATTTAGTTTTCCTTAATTGTTCCAGGAACTCATCTACAGAGAGCAATGCATCACATCTGGAGGTAGCAATTTACCTTTCAGAAATCAACAAAATCTGCACGCGCCTCCTGGGTTTAGGCAAAAGGAGCTCAGGCAGCTACCGCCGCTGCTCCCGTCCCTCGGATAACCCAAGGCTCCAGGGGATTCTCAACCCTCTGCAATATCGCCACCAGCATTTCCTTCGGAATTCACCAAGTTTTCTTCAATATCTGCTGCCTAGATAAGCCGATCTTTCTCAATACGTCCTAGAAATCTTGCAGTAGGCTTGTGGCTTTTAATTTTCTTTTGAGCCTGAAGGTTCATACTTGTTAATAATTTGGTGGTTCCTGATAGTTCTGCAGCCTGGAGAAGAGACAACAGATGGTCCAGCCCCGGCTTTAAGCATTATTCCTTCTGTACCTTTCAGGAATTCGAGAGATTCTTAGTTTAGAAATATTTTTTCTCCCTCCTCTCTGGGCACTGGTCACCTGCTTCGTCCGCTTTGCCATTATACTTCAAGTGGATGCATACAGTAGAAAGACCGCCCTTATTCCACGGACTGGAATTTTTATTATTTGCACTTTTACTGCAGTATCTTCCTAATATTCCTCAAATTTTCATGAATGAAGCCACAGAAAAGGAGAGCGGGTAGATGGGGTTTTCTCCATCAGTTCTTCATTGACCCTACACAACCACAGGGCGCTGCCACGTAGACACAAGCAAGGATCCCTCCGGAGAGCTGACCATGTCTGTGCCAACCAAATTCTGAGGGGACTCCAGAATTGGTCCACCGAAGTGTAAAAAATAATTATTCGACGCTATCGTTCAGGGGAAAAAAACACATTAGCTCTCATACTGCAACCACAGCCATTGGCTTGTTTGCTGGAATACATGTCGGGAGTTTTCCGGTATCTTGACAGATCGTATTCCCTGGCACTGGGGTATCCGGAGCCAGGTCACCCCCCGGAGCCGGGTTGCTCCCCGCACCACCAAGAGCCTGTGCAAAATGCTGCCTCACCCTGGCGGGGACATAGAGCTGAGGATGCTTAAGAAAAAATTATCTGCTTACAGCAAACTGTCTTCTCCAGCCTACAGCTGCACCTCTGCCCTTAGTTTCTAAGATTAACTTTTTACTCCCCAATTAAAGAAAATACGCATCCGCGCCCGGCAGATATTCACAGATATGGGTGTGCACAGAGGGGCCGCAGCACGAGTCGTGTTAAGACTCCACTCACAAGGCACGTGTAGACCATGTAACTTATTTAGGCGTGATGCCATTCTGAACCTGGAAACAATTTCTAACTTGTAGGATCATGAGATCATTCAAACACAGCGAGACTGAAAGAAAAACTAAAAGCAAAAAGCAGCAAAGACAAGGTTTGTTTCCAGATGAAATGTGGAACGGCAGCAGACCCAAGAGAGGAGCAGAGTGGGATCTCCAGGAGGCTGGAGCTGCCGAGGAGATGGGTCTCATCCCTGGATGGGTGCTACAGCACGTGGGGGACAATATCCCCAACGCTGTGCAAGCATCCATCCATCCATCCAAGAGCCCATCCACCCACAGGTGCCTGTCCATCCAGGGGAGCCCATCCAGCCGTGGGGACCCGTCCATCCACAGGAGCCTGTCCATCCACAGGAGCCTGTCCATCCACAGGAGCCTGTCCATCCACAGGAGCCTGTCCATCCACAGGAGCCTGTCCATCCACAGGAGCCTGTCCATCCACAGGAGCCTGTCCATCCATGGGAGCCCATCCACCCATGGGAGCCCATCCATCTACGGGAGCCTGTCCATCCATGGGAGCCCATCCACCCACAGGTGCCTGTCCATCCATGGGAGCCTGTCCAGCCACAGGAGCCTCTCCATTCCTGGGAGCCTATCCATCCACGGGAGCTGATCCGGCCACAGGAGCCGGTCCATCCATGGGAGCCCATCCGGCAGCGGGAACCAGGATGTGTCCCGGCACACGCAGGGCTGCGGAGGGAGGGAAGGGGGACACCGCGACAGCCGAGAGCACAGCCCTGGCCCCCAGACACTGCTGATGGCACGCACGCGTGTGCTGAGAACAGAAATTTCTGTTTAATTGCTCAAATGGTTTCGCTTTTCTATACTAAATGTTTAAAACCCCCCAACAACGTAAGAACAGTTTCCCTGCATTAGTTAAGAACATGGACATACAAAAGGAAAGAAGGGACCAAGTATTTCCTGTCCTATAGGGAAATAATATGCATTTGGGCTGATTTTTTGTTATTTTTTTTTTTCCTGGCAGATTTGAAAAGTATAAAGCTTTGAATATTAAGAAGGCTATTAAATTCTTTCAATAGTTTTCCAAAGTGCGAAGCTGCTGCACTTAGAAAAAGGAAAGGCAGCCTAGCACTCTTCAAGAACAAAACGAATTTAAAGACACGATTAATATTGCCACTGACATTAAAAAGAAAGCGTCGCTTAAAAAAATCAATTGTCTTGAAACAAAGCGCAGACTTTTGGCTATTGATCGTATTTTTAGCCTCAGACTTTCTCTGGAGACTTAAAAGTATGCAAATGCAAAGTGCAGCGAGGCACCCGCACATGCTATACCTTTGGATTACACTGGCATTTTATTATTTAATTAAACTACTCTTCTTTTTCTAGCTCACGCGTGCTTCCCTTGAGACGGCTTTGCTGTTAGCCTGCTGGCCTTGACTTCCAGCCAAAAACAATTCAGAAACAAAAAGGGACAACAAATCATATTTTCACAGACATTTTTATCCCTCAATACAACCTTGTTTTCACACAACATCATACAGATTCTATGAAAACTATAATTTATTGCAGTAGCCATCCAAAGCTAGGGGCCGACACGAGCTCTGCGGTGTGTTCCCACCTCTGGAATTCCTGAAGTTGTGCCGTGGGGAAGGACCCGCCATGCCGCACAGCGCGGCGTTGTGGCAAGGGACAATAATCACTGGTTCACGGCGGCTCTGGCTGGGGCGGTACCGGGTCAAGCCCGGCCCTCGGAGCCTCCAGTAACTGCAGCCTGGCCAGCAAAGCTCAGGCTGGAGCTTTAAGGCCGGCATTTGCACAGAAAGGCCGGCTCTGGGAAACGCACAGCTGCAGCCATCGCCGCTGACGGTGGAGCCTGGCCCCGAGATGTACAACTGGCAGAAGCAACCCTCGTTTCCCAGAGTATTTACCACAACCCCTCTGCTCAGCAGGCTTTTCGCTTACCTGGTGGCAACCCTGTAAATTCGAGTCTCTTCCATACGATGAGTATGAACCCCTTTCTGTTTTACCTGTTAACAAAAAAAAAAAAAAATAATAATAAAGTATAACAGACAAAACCAGACATATATAGCTTCTCCAAGCATTTGAGATGATGTTCCCCACCTTTTCCTAGGGCTGTTTACATATGGAAAATAGGCGCTGCTGACTGCGGAATGCACGGAGGCAACAGAAAGGGATTAATGCTTTTTCAAGCTGAGGCTGGCGATGGGAAATAAACTTCCTAATCTTGGCTCCATGCGCTGCCTGGAACCGGGATGTAACGGGCTTCCTCCGGTGGGCTGAGCACCCAGGCACCCCCCCCATCCCACCACCGGGCAGGGGGCACGGCAAGGCCCCCACCGGCTCCCTGGGCACCCAGCTTGGCCCCGGAGCTGCTGGGGATGCGGCTCCCCGGGTGCCTAAGTTAGAGATCACTAAAAGTTCAATGTGAAATGGTGGATAAAATAAAAAAAAAAAAGCTTTTCCATTAACTCCAGTGAGGCATTTGAACTTTTAATTAAATATTTTCTTGTTTAAAATATGATTGTCATTAACCATTAACGATTTTCTGTGTAGGCCAAGCTTTTTTGAAAACTCATGTGCCTATTCTTTTTGAAGACAATACACTTTACAAATTGTTACAAAATTTTTTTTTTTAGGTCAAATTGGATGTGACTAGGAAGTGCCAGCATTAAGTACTTTTTTTTTTTCTTTTTTTTTCTTTTTGCCTTTTTTTCCCAGGAAGCCTTTAACGCTCGGATCCGACAGCCTGACTTGCAGTACCGGTTACAGTTATGCCATATTTACAAAGGCGAATAAAGGTTCTTTCAGGTTTGAATGGCCAGGCTCGAGCGAAATCAAGAAGGGAAGAGGTGGTTTCTGCAAAGCATTAAGTCATGGCTGAGCAGCACCGCACCACGTGCTCCGGAGACAAAGAGCAGTCAAGAGGGCTGATACAAAACATATTGACACTAAAAGACCACCCTTATGGTGAGGATAATCACGGGAGGGGGGGAGGAATTATCTAACAAAACATCCAAGAACACAGTAAAAATCACTCATAAAATTAAAGTTTTTATTAGAGGCTGGGGCATAAAACCCACAACGCACAGTACCCGTTACCAGGGACCAGATGCTCAGTTTATCTCCGTGCGCGGCTCCCGGCGATGCCGGGGACACCTAGAAGCCAGGTTCAGGGGGCCGCGTACCCCCGCCTCCCAGCCAGGCAGTGAGAGCCCCGCACCAGACCCTGCGCCACCCAGGTAAAGCCGCCGCGCCGATCCATGTACCAAAGCCACGAAAAAATGTCCCTTAACCGCCATTGGAAACGTCGGGATCGCAAAACCGACGGCATCCACCCGGCTGGCAAGTGGCAGGGGCACGGCGAGGCGGGCAGCGGCCAGGGGGTCCCTACTGGCATGGCCCCCCGCCTTCCCCCACGCCATCCGGGGTCCATAAAGAACCCGCGGGGAGGCAGATCGTTAGACAAAGGATGCTGGAGTTCATTTCAATCGTTCCCCATACGGTGTTGGCCACGTTCGGACTCCACAAGCCTTCCCTTTAATACACAGCCACCGGGGCTGAGCGCCATTTAGAGGTATTATTGCTAAAGTTTGACTGTTGTGAGCGGTTTGGAATAAAAAAATCATCTTTCTCCCCCATAATAATGTACAAGTCTCGAGCTTGCTTTTGTTTCTCCTCTTTGGTTTTGTTGTTCTCCACATAAAGTAGCGACTTATACACGGGAACCTCCACAATTTATTTGCAATTCATAGGACATTTGCACACGTAATAACTTTTGAAAGCACTTGTATCTGGTTATACAAAAATGATGGATCACCCACTCCATAGCCCCCCTCAGGTTCGGAGCACTGGAAGCCTTTGCAAGAAATAATTCAAGATTGAAATGACAAGGAAATTCGAATCGTGACTCTCCAACGCCGAGGTCTGAAAACAAAATGTCTCGCTGGCATGGCCGGAGTTACGTGTGCTACTTCCCATCACCCCAAGAGGGCCAGAAAGTCGATGCAAATAAGCGGTGAGGACGGGGAGGAGGGGGGAAAAATCCCAAACGGAAAAACAGGGTCGAGGGGAACCAAGTACGAGCAGCGACACAAGGTACTTTGAAGGCTCTGCCTGGGTATCCGTGAGCTCCTTTTCTATCGTATCAGACACAGGCAGCCTCATCTTAATTTCAGTTGTTAAAAAATATTTATCCAGATACAAAAATAAACCCGCTGCAAATTACAAGTTGTCAGGGTTAAAATCTACTTCTATTTGTGTGGGGGAGGATAAGAGAACAGCATAGACATGAATCATTCTCAGTAATTTGAGTGTTTCCATGACATCAATGGGCACTCGTCCAGGACTCTGTCGAAGTCTGTGAGGTACCAAAGCGGCACAGCAGCCAGCAGGAGATTGACTTTTTTTTTTTTCCCTTCTTTTTTTTTTTTTTTTTTTTTTTAGGATTATGCTCCTTGTAAAGATTTCATCTCTAGCATCCACTTTTACCACTGAACAGATAGCTTTGGAGATCACGAGTGAACACACATTTCATTCTGATAGCGTAAGCCTTTAACTTTATTGCATTTTTGCTGTTGCTGTTGTTCCCCCGTACAGCAAGAAATCTGCCTCCTCCATTAAGAATAACCAAAATTCACCAAAAAGTCAAGAAACCATTAAAAAAAAATATACAGACGTAGATTTTCAATATCAACTGTAATTATGAAATTATCATACTTTTTGTAATGACACTTCATTTTTTTTTGGGGGGGGGGGAATATCTTTTGTATAAACTGTCCATTTAAAATTAGCTACAGTCTTGATGTTGATTTTCTGCTTAAAATTCACTGGCACATTTGTTTCAGATAATAAAATTTGCAAGAGCGCTGATAATATGCAAGAGTCGGCTCTTTAAGCAACTATTTGTGCTCCCAAATACAAAAGCTTCTCCGGAATTTCTCCGTTTACTGTACATTAAGCAACATTTTCAGTCCCTTGAACACCCCAGCCTCTCCTGCGCGCTTTCCGAGGTCTGCGAGAGCTAAAGATTCTTTTTTTTTTTTTTTTTTTAAATGTTTTAAAAAAGAGAGAGCGTCTACAGCGATGTAGACACCCGACGCATTCACTGCGGAATTTTCGAGACAACCCTCTAGTACTAGAATGCGGCAGCCGCTGCGGATATTTTTTGGCACAAAGACAATGGTGGCAGTGCCAAGCCCCATGGCTAAAACTACTCAAAAGAGGCATAAGGGTAGCATTAATCGTTCAAGTCTTTTACTGCATGGAGTACTGTTGTCCATATTTTAAAACCTAAAAGTACCCGTTAGTAATATTTGTTGTAAGCCAGGGGACAAAAAAAAAAAAAAAAAAAAAAGAAAAAAAAGAAAAAAAAAATAAATAAAAAAAAAAAGAGGAGCCTGGAATACAGACGGATAACAAATCTTGTCAGACATCTGATTAATTTTTCCTACCTAGAGGACCAAACGCTAAAACGTGCCATTTGTTAGCGGCGCGCCGAACACGCCACGCGATCTATACCCGTCCGTGGCTTTATGATCTGACAACTGAAACAAAGCTCCATGGAAGACGTTGACCTACAAAGGCTGGTGAATAACTTTCAAGTACGCGCTTGGTCTTTAGGTAAGGCAGAGAAAGCATCTCTGTTATTGTCGGAGGCGGTAACTTAGCGTGTGTGCAAATACATATATATATATATGCAATTAATTGCCACAATGCATGCCAATCAAAGGAGAGACAAAGAACCAACTCCACGCAGCTCCTGTTTTCTGACAAACACTGAACCGCAAGTCCCTGCTCTCTAAATACCTCCAGAAAAAAAGCCGGCTTATCTTCCCAAACCTAAACCGGTTGCTTCGTAAATATTTTGTTTGCATTTTTCTGCGTAACTGCAGAAAATACCAGCAGCATCGGATTGCCAATCAATCAATACAGCAGCCACTTGCCTTTCCGTGGTGGGCTTTGAAAAATGAATCGAATTAAGTAGGAAATCTAAGCGACTTCCCAAGCATAAACACAAGTCATGATTCCATGATTCCCCACGCTCTCCTCCCCTGCCCTGGCAGATCGGGCACCTTGGCTTTTTGCTGGTAGGCAGAACGAGAGGCACGAGGCGACTCTTCCATCTGCAGAGAAAGGGAAGCGAAGCTATTGCTATAAATGACTTCCATTCAATGTTTACATTGATTTCGCGTTTGACGTATTTTTTTTGAGAGATGAGCTCGACCAGAATATTCTAATTCAGGTTGCCGCTGCCCTACATTTGGGGTCTAGTTCTTGGTTAGCCCAAAGAAGGGAAACCTGGCTGGGCATAAAAAAAAAAAGTAGTAATTGTATCGGGGACTGGAATTTTAAGGGCTGCAAATTTGAATCTGTTCAGATCTGCGATTTTGCTGAAACCCGTTTCTTATTGTATTACTGCATTTCTCAGGTTTTTGAAAATTAACGATTGTTCCCTCTGATGGCCAATGTCTCCAACGCATCCCGAAGGGAGCCCGATTGATTCCTCTACAGAGAATGCCAAATTAAAGGAGGATTCGGGGCCGAAGTCAGACCAGGCACGAGGAACACCGAGCTGGAGCGTACCTGGGAAAAAGTTCTGAGCAACCGAAGAATGGGCTGAACTCCAGCTCCACATCTGCCTGTGCGCAAGGCGCACGTACGTGTTACCAGGAGGGCTCGTTTGCATCCTTGTGAGGACCACAAACCGGTTTACTTCAGCCTTAATCTATAATTCTTGCATTGGAAATTTGCTTCTGGTCGTTGAAGTTTGGTTGCAGGAGAAAGGGAGGGGTTGAGGCAGCGCCGGCCTCCTCCGAGCGCCTGACGCGGGACCAGCTCGGCGCGGTGGCTCGGAGCCGGATTATCACTGCCAGTTTTTGTGGCCTCAGAGATTTGAAAACTCCTTTCAGCAGAGAAATCAAGCTAAAATTTGTACAGAATTATAAATTACCCGAGGATAAA